AAAGCGGCAAAATCTGTCTGCTTTTGCGCTTCCAATGCCCCATTGTACTAGGCAGTGCGCCAAGCTTTTGCCAATTTAAATCACACGCATCCGGGGTTGGGCTTCTTTGCCAAAGGCGCGTTGTAGCATGTAACTCGATCCAATCAAAGGGCAGTTCCCCTTCTCAGACATTTGTTGCAGTGCTCCAGCTGGTTCTTTGCGGGAGCTTTTCGGTCCCCCAGGCGGAAGGTTGTTAGGAGAGCTCCAAATGAAAGTCCATTTTTTGTGGGAGCGGGAGGGATTGCTGCCTGCAGCTGTTTGGCATCGAACGAGCTTGGGGAGATTCCATAGGGGCCAGCCACGCCTGAATTGATTGATTGGTTCCAGGTGGGTGTGGCTCAAAATTGAAGAGCTGGGGTTGCGCAGGTTCCAAAGATGTGTACCACTTTTTGAGCCACAGCCAGGTGTTTGGCTGCCTTTCTGGTTTCCCATTTAGTTTCCATGCGACACCCTCCGGCTCAGCAGGTCCAGAGCAAGCAACTAGAGCCCTGAACCGGGGTAGCTCTTTGCGACCTTTCGAAGGCTGCGCCTGCGAGCCATGGGGCGCAACAACGGGTGCGTGCTGAGCAGCCGCTGGCCTGCACGGTGTGTTCACTTCTCCGCCCCCTTCTTCTTTTTCAGCGAGAGGGGTTCGGGTCTGCATCCGGGAGGGGCCCCCCCTTTAGAATTCGAAGAAGCATCCTTTTTCGGGGCGGGGACCAACCTCGCTTCAGGGAAGACTGTTTCAAAGGCATAGGTGTCCTTTTTTGGTTGTTTTTGTAGAACAAATAGATGGCCCTGGTTTATCTGGTGGTTTAATCATCTACCAGGGCCATCTATTTCCCCCAAAAGGACACCTACGTTCAAAGGGTGCACCTCTCATAGAAATGGACATTGCCGTCCAGAGTCCTGAATAGCTGGGGCTGGAGCCCATTGAGTTGGCCTTGAGTTGCCCCTTGCTACAAATTTTGTGTGCGGCCCGTCGGAATTCGTACCTTTCTCCGTCTAGTGCTGGCGAATTGCTTAGCCGTGGCTTGCTTGATGGCTGAAGATGCTCTTCGCTGTTGCAGCCCATCAGGCACCGCTTCTGTTGGGGTAGCGTGTCACCCATTCCAACGGCAAATCTTCCCTCTCACAGGGTTGCTTATGTAAGACTTGGGAGGACGTAGAAGGAATTTTGGAGGGGAAATGGGCGACATCCAGTGATAAATCAGCGAGTCCTCTTTTTTTTGGGGACCTGGCAAATCCATCAGCCCCACCCATCCCAACCAATTCCCAGTGGATGAGTCTCCTCTACAGCCTCCAAAAAAAGAGTCTCCATCTTTTAGGTGGCGGCGCCCACAAGCCGCCGGGACTGTTGTCACTTTTCAGGCTTGGTTTTGCTGCCACGTCTCTTTGTACCGATAGGCTTGCACGTGCAGTCATAGGTGTCGGTGTTACCCAGATGTCGACTCCGACTAGCAGCTTTGACACTGCTGCAAAGTGCACAAGTCATGGCGGGCGCGACAAGCGCAGCGGCTAGACTGGGTTCAGGTTTACCTGTTGTTGGGCCGGACAACCTGTAAGCGCTCAGATGGTAAGAGCCCACGCTCAAGTGCACCCGTCCATGCCCACAGATAGTAAAAACCCACCCTCAAGTGCACCCGCCCCTCAATGCATCCATGCCCACAGATGGTAAGAACCCACACTCAAGTGCACCCGCCCCTCAATGCATCCATGCCCACAGATGGTAAGAACCCACGCTCAAGTGCACCCGCCCCTCAATGCATCCATGCCCACAGATGGTAAGACACCACGCTCAATTGCACCCGCTCATCAATGCATCCATGCCCACAGATGGTAAGACACCACGCTCAAGTGCACCCACTCATCAATGCATCCATGCCCACAGATGGTAAGAACCACGCTCAAGTGCACCCGCGCCTCAATGAATCCATGCCCACAGATGGTAAGAACCCAGCCTCAAGTGCACCCGCCCCTCAATGCATCCATGCCCACAGGTGGTAAGAACCCACGCTCAATTGCACCCACTCCGCAATACATCCATGCTCACAGATGGAAAGAACCCACGCTCAAGTGCCGACAAACACACAAGAAGTGGGCTTGTGGAAGTAGAACGAAAGTTTGGATCAGCCTTTTTGGTGAGAAAAGGCGTTTCGCCTAGACGAAATGCTGGCCGATGCCCTTTTGGGGCGTGCTCGTGCGGTTTTGAGGACATTGCAAAGGCAACGTTTTCATTCAGGTTGTCAAAACCCTGCGTTTTTTTTGTGGTTTGCTTTCAAGAGACGTTCAGAAACCCTCGAAAGACTTGTCAGCAGCGCTGGCGGCCTACAGGCGCCGTTGCCATGATTTAGGGCTTGGCGTCGGCAACATCGACTCCAAGTCTCCATGGCCCAATCCCAAACCCCCTTCCTTATTTGAGCCAGCGAGCGCAGCTCACAGGCAAGGCGAGCTTTGGTGCCGGGCTATGGAAGCCGGGCTATTTCGCCGGCACCCCAGGGCGCGCTCAGTGGCTCCACCTGTTCGATCAGGGCATTTTTCCTGGCATCCGTTTTTTTGAGGGATCTGGCTTCTTTTTTTTGTTGTTGTGGGGGGTTGTTTTTTGGGAATATGTGGCTAAGACTTGGAGCACTTGGAGCCTATACTGGCAAGGAGGGAGAATGCATGCCCACATGGGTTTCTGAGTCCCAAGGCATAAATTTTCAATTCAACATTTACACAGATGTTGCTCTTTTTCTTTCACACTTTTGTCTGGTCTGATTTTCTGATGTCTGATGTTCAAATGTTTCCCTTTGTGAAGCCCAGAAAGTCCACCCTCGAGGCGCTTCAGAATCCCAAGCGCGCACTTATGTCGGACACCTTGTGCTTCCAACAGTTCACTGCGTCAAGCTTCTGTTTGGTGAGCCACTGGCTCAAAACCCCGGTAGATGAAGGCTAAGGGGCGGTCCCAGCTGGAAATAGTTGCAGATATCCGCCTAAATCTGTACATGGTTCGGATCCTTTCCATTTTTGTACCAGGTTTTGATTGTGAGTCAGGTCCTGAGGCAACGCCTGCCTCCCTCCAGAAAGCTCATCACATGTTCCAACACTCCATGGGATTTCGGGGGGCTATGGGTGCTTCTCAACAAATTGTTCGGCCACCTGGGATTGGCGTCCGCCATGGTTTCTCCTTGAAACCGTAGCAAGGCACAATTGTTTTGAGACTCTCCCCGCGATGAAGCGGTCCTTTGCATGGGATGGCCATCAGGGAAACAAAAAAAGATAATTACAGTTTTTTCCCACGGCAAAAAGTTGATCAACCCATCCACCTGGATTTCCTTTTTGCCGCACGCTCGAGACGTGGATCAATTTTGTTAGGTGGGCGACAGCCATTGGAAGGCCGACACCTCCAAGGAGCCACTCGGTGGGGACAAGTGGCGCCAGCCGTTGCCAGGGCATTCGCTTCAGAGGCTCTCTCTAGCATCAGCTTCCCCTCCCTGTTTGGTCCAACCAAACCACCAATTTACGGGGAAGCTGATCTAGGAAGTTGCGCGGCTTTTGCTTAGGTTTTTCATTAGTATTTTTTTGTTGGGGGGAATGATCAACAACACTGGTTGCCAGCATTTCAGACTGGTAAGTAAGTTCTGCATGTTGAGTTCAAGAGATAGGTTGTGCCTGATTCCCCGAACGGCACCTGGACAACCGTTTTCCCGAGAACCCCCTTTTCAGGTTCTGCTCTTTTTCGGTCGGGTAAACCGTCTCAGCAAAAACTTCCCGGAACTTGCCCGGGACCCCACCCAAAAGCGCCCCAAACCCTCGATCAAATCCAAGGCGCTGAAAGAAGGAAAGGAGGAAGCAGGAATGGCCCTGGGAGTGCCAATGGGATATCCCGACATCCCCGTTCCAATGCCCAACGGAAGCGGACACTCTCTTGAGGCCCCTCCACTTCCACTTGGTGGATTCATTTGCTTATCCTCAGCTCTGGGCGAATGTGTGGCAGGCACCTCCTGAAAGTGAAGCGACAGCCCTGAAAGGGCTTTGGCTGGTTCGTGTAGCAAGGGTACTCAAACGGAATTTTGTATAGCGTTAGAAAGAAAAAAAGTAAAAATAATTGAGAATGTTTGCACGAAGGCTTTCAAATCCGCATGTGGCTCACCATGAGCTTTTTACATGCCTGGCCCGCTCGCAGCGCGCTGGGCCCAAGATTTCTCTTTGTGCGTGCCCGCACAGGCTGGCCGCAAAGAGTGCACGCGGTCCGCTAAGTTGGTAGCGCAGCCCTCCTTGGAGGGCCCGAGCCATCGTCGATCCTGGACCTCGCCCTGGCATGGGTTCTTCTGGCTTTGATTTGGGCATGCCACATGTGAGCAGTCTCTTGCCAGAGCAGAGGATGTTCGGTGCGATGCCTACACCTTCACGGGCATCAGCACCTGGACCTGACCTTCATGACCTTGCGAGGGATGATGACCTCCGATGCGTGACTCGTCTACCGAGCCCTACGTTCGTGAGGTATTTGGCGGAGTATGGAGCTTTACCCCTCAAGGGTTTCCCATCCTGATCCTCGAAGACACCGGGCGCAGCAACCATACATCCTCATGGTCCACCACGGCCAGTAGCTAACCCCAGCCGCCTTGACGCGCCCGTCAACGGCCTGCTGCAGGTGTTCAGGCCAGCCATGGACCCCCTGATTCGACTTCCGAGAGTGGGCTGAGTGAACGAGGCGAGAGTGAGGCTCCCACGAATGACCCAGTCGTGGGCCCCGACCACCTCGACGCCGACGCTGACGGCAATCGCCCATCTTGACCCACCTGGAGAACCCGAGCAGCTAGACCTAGATGAACAACTTCCAGATCCTTGGGATGAGTTGAAGCCTTCACGCCTGTCTACCTCTTCGAGCTGGAATATCTTGAAGGGCCAGTCAAGGGCGTGAAGTACCACGGAGGGACTCCCCCAAATCCTCCGGCATGATATCACAAGGGTGACCTCCGTGCCTTCGCCAGCTGAAGGAGACGGGCATCCTTCTGTACAACGCCCTCACAGGAGAACTGGAAGAAGAACTGGAGGACGCTGACATCAGCCAGATCTACAACCCCAAAAGGGTGGAGTTCATCCTCAACACCCTCAGCCGCGCCATCGAGACACGCTCCGTCCACCTTAAGAGGAAGCTCTTGGCCGACTACGAGCACCTGTGTTGCCACAACGGCGAAGGAATGCGGAGCTTCATCAACCGCCATCAGCGGTCTGAGCGGGCACTCCTCAGCGTCAACATCATGTGGAGATGCAACGTCAAGTGCTCATTGGAACAATGCAGTCCCTCGACACGGTCAAGGATGCCTTGTTTTTTCAGTATCCCGACCGTCGGGCTGCACCACCTCTTTTTGAACAGCGTCATGGAGCTCCACTTCGACGGCAACCTCCAGCAGTACCACACCGGCGGGAGCGTACCCGAAGACGAGACCAACGGCAACAGCCCCTCGACGACAAGTTTAAACGAGACCAGCGCCTACGTGCTGACCGACCCCAACAATCAGTGCGCCCACAGGTACTTCCGGAGATCTGGCAACCGGCACGGCAAGTACGCCCAATGCCAGGGGAGGTTTTTACTCCGACCTCGCGCTCATCACCATTGCCACTGCCTTCCTCAACAAATGTCCTGGATTCGTCCTGGAGGACCCACCTGCAGGACGACGCACCACCACTTCCTCTTCAAGACCACCGCCAGATGCCTTTGCCAACGCAGCAACGACAAGCTTCGACCTCCTCCAAGGCCAAGTTCGATTGGGAGAACGCCGACGGGTAGCTGGAAATCTTAAGCAAGCAGCCCAGGTTCTCACCGTGGAGCAGAACGTCTACGGCGACCTCCCGAGCAGCATGGACAACAAGTCCAAGATCGACGTGATGGAGATGTTTGCCCGCGCAGCGGAAATCACGCACAGGGCACCTTCCTTCGGCTTGAAGTCATTGCAGCCCTTCGACTTCGAGTATGGACTGGACCTCGGCCTTGAGGAGCACCAACAGACTTGGGCCGATGCCCAAAGGAAGTTTAAGCCCCTGGTCATCCTCACCGGCATCAAGTGCACCAAGTGGATCATCATGAGCGAGAATATGAGCTACCTTGGCAGAGGTAGAATGGATGAGCTGCAGGAATTGCGAGCAGCCGAGAGACCACTCGTGACCTTCACCACGGACGCATGTTGGCAACAGCCCGGCCCCAAGCCGACTATGGGAGCTACCCGAGGTGCACGAGCTCATGATGCACCCGGAGGTCTACGTGGTTCGTGGACATGCCGGAGCGAATGGAGGGACTACGAGCACCGGCGAGCTCATGAAGAAAACTTTCCAGTGGGTCACCAACTCTAAGGAGCTCACAGATTCAGTCTCGGCCAAACTTGGAAGTTAGATGCTCTACTACTGCAAGCCGCTTTTGGGCAAGGAACTTCGCCAGAGCGCCAAGTACCCCGACGCCTTGGTCAAGAGCATTCTTCAGGCAGTGCGGGTGGAAGCCCAAAGGCGGTGCCCCCAACGCTTCTTGAAGGCCAACGAGGTCTACGTTGCAGAGCCTGTGGAGGACCCCGCAGCCTGGGCAGAAGTTTTGCGTCTGGCACAACGAGCATTAGTGTCAGATTCAACTCGCGGCTACAACGTCCCAGATGACGACAAGATCTACCACATCGTCAAGCAGCTCGTCCCATGGGACATAGTTCGAGTGCAGATTAGCCGATGCCCTGTCCAACGCCGCCTTCCCAGAGACATCAGCTACACCCACCGTGGAGCAGTCTTGCAGTACCAGGACGGGGGCATCGAAGTGGAACATGAGGCGCTCGACGGACTTCACTTTCCGAAGCAGCGCTTCCGGAAGGCCGTTGCTTGTGGAGTGTTCTGGTATGGACACGCCGATCCTCAAGCATTACCGCCTGAACCACCAGAGCAACAGCCACAGCCACCTCAAGAACTACAACCTGAGCAGCAATCACCTCCACAGCCACAAGAGCCACTGTATGGCAGCACTTGCACGCATCCACCTCAACCTGGGACACCCTAGTGAACGTGAACTCATTCGACTTCTGGCGTGGCAAGGGGCGATCAGTAAGCACTTCCTCACGGCCGTCAAGCACATGGTTTGTGCCTCTTACCAACGCACCAAAATGCCGAAGAAAGCAAGACCTTCGGCGATGCCTACATCCAACCTTGGGCAGTTCAACGACTGCATTCAGTCAGACGTCTTTTACTGCAGGGACGTCATGGGTGTCAACTACGCCGTGGTCGGCATAGTGGACCAGCCGACACTTTCCCAGACAATGGTGGACGCCTTCCAGGCACTTTGGCTTCGCCCCTATGGGTTTCCGCTTGAGGTCCGTGTGGATCCGGCAGGATACGATGCTGCTTTCCGCACCTTCATGGAAAAGCATGGCGTCCACGTCATACCTGCCAAGGCCCATTGGAGGATGCCTTGGAGGGCGCCGTGCACGCCATCAACAGCATGACCTGCACCCATGGCAGACCTGCCTACATGGCCGTTTTCGGCCAGATTCCTCGCCTTCCTAGTGGACTCTTGGAAGCGACCGCAGCGTACCAACGTGGAGCCCTTGCCGGGAGCCATGAGACCTGACGTTCTACGTGCCGAAGCCGTGAAGGCTATCGCAGAGATCAACGTCTCTCAGGCACGTCGTCGGGCACTGCTTCGCAAGACAGCAGCGTCTCCCAAGGACTTGCAGATCGAGCCAGGCCAGAACTGTGCGTACTGGAGATGGCAGATCCAAGTCGACCAAGAAGCGTGGTGGATGGGTCGTGGCCAGATTTCCAGCCAACGACCCAGACGGTATGGCTCCATTCCGGCAACACCAGCATTCAGGTGTCACTTGAGGTCAGCTCACGGATTTGAGAACTGGCAGCCGTCGCGAGAGGACATTGCCGCCATCAAGGACGGAGCGACCAGCATCCAGAAGGATCTCTGGGAAGACCACCGTGCTGATGGTCCTCCTCGAGATGAAGATGAATACGACTACGACCTTGAGGTCGAGATGCCACAACCTCTCGCACTACCACTTGCCGCACCTTCCACTGAGCAGCAGCAACCGGCGGCATCACAACAACAGCATCAAGACACACAGACCACACCGCGGCCACAGCCAGCACAGCAACACAACACCAGCATGGAGTACCACCAGCATACCACCACCAATGTCAACACAGGCGACCTACACCTTTCAGTGTCGCAATCAGCGCCACTACAGCAGCAAGCAAGCACTTCCCGTTTCGGGATGACACGACAAGACCGGGCACAATATGTGCCACTACGACCCGGTCGAGGCAGATCACGCACACCCTCACGAGAACTTGCACCAGCATCGCATCACACCACCGGCGGCGCAAGCACACCAACAGCAGTTGCAGCATTTCCCACGCCATCACAGGCACAGCAACAGCACCTCGACATTGGAGAAATGGCGCCTGTAACACCTCCCAAACTACAAGCAGCAGACTACATCACACCTACAGCATCACAGGCGGCCAGCAACAGCAACCCTCAACCACCGGCGTCCGGTGATACCACACCACAACTTCCGGAACTGGTGGACCTTACCGCCGATGAACAGCAGCAGCCACAAGCACCCACAGATCCTTACCAACACATGGAGTTGCAAGAGCAGCAACCTCCCACATCGGTGGAGCTACCATACGGCTTGGAGCCTCCACCATACAATCTGATCAGCCCACCCTCCAAATCCCAGCCCAACCTTTGCAGGTACAGCAGCAGCCGTGCTGCAACGTGAAGGATATCCGGTCCTAGTCACGGACCTGGCAGGACCCAGCAGAGCGCATGCCGACCAGAAAGGAAGCCAAAGCCTTGAATCGAGAGATCCCCTGGAGGCAGATCCTGAGCATGCCCAAGGAGAAGATCCAAGCCTTTATCGACTCCGCCATCAAGGAGGAGAACGGCTGGAAGACTTGGGGATCAGTTGAGCCAGTTCACGAGGCCGAGGCCAAGGCCATTATGACAGACCCCAAGAGGCGGCGGCGGGTTTTGAAGAGCAGAGCTTGCTACCACAACAAGAGCCGCGATCCGTCTAAGCCCATCGCGAAGACGCGAGTCGTTGCCCTCGACCTTTACAAGATCAACCGAGATGCTCCGACACCTTCCAGGACGTCAGAGTACCTTCTGCTTAGCATCTACGCAGCCGGTGTGAATGGCGTCTTTCAGAACGAGGCCCTTGGGAGCTCTGGTCAGGAGACGTCAGCACCGCGTTCTTGCAGGGGCTTTGCGAAGACAGAGACGAACCGTTTGGCCAACAAGGGCAAGGAGACAGCCACAGCAGACCTGGCGACTCTCTACAGCGCGATCGGCTGCGCCAAGGAGACCTCCAAGCAGGGATTGGTGTTCCAGGACGTGCCCATCAATAAGGCGACCGTGGTCTGGGCCAACGCGGTCAATTGCAGCTCCCAGCAGGGTGTTTTGACCTTGCTGACGACACCGCACTGCTCCCAGGTTACCGCCAAGGCAAACTTGGTAGACTGGAAGTCAAACCGATCGGCTCGTGTTTGCCGCTCGACCTTGGCTGCAGAAGCAATGGCTTGCGACGACAGCGTCGACCGGGCTTACTTCACCAACATCATACTCTACGAGTTGCTTCATGCCGAGAAGGCGCATCGCAGGTTACAGACAGCCGCTCGCTGTTTGATGGAATCGCTGCAGAGAACCCCAGGGTTTGTGAGAAACGTACCCTGGTCAGCATCCGCAGCATCCAGGAGTACATCAATTTCGACACTTGCTTCTGGGTGCCGACACATTAGCAGTGGGCCGACGGTTTGACAAAGGTCACTTCCACCTTGCGTAAGACCTTCAGCGACTGGCTCCGGAACCCGTACATCGTCTTGAAGGAGTCTGAAAAGAAAAGCACTCCTGAGCGCCGGGCCTTTCCCAACACAGAATTGGGAGTGAGAATGTTTGCACGAAGGCTTTGAAGGCCCTTGCAGGTTCATTGCAAATCCGCATGTGGCTCACCATGAGCTTTTCACATGCCTGGCCCGCTCGCAGCGCGCGCTGGGCCCCAGATTTCTCTTTGTGCGTGCCCGCACAGATCCGCACCAGTGGCTGGCCGCAAAGAGTGCACGCGGTCCGCGAAGAAGAATAACATCACCAAACATACGATATGATAAGCATGACACGAATCACGATAACAATAAACATAGTACTGACTATAATCTAAGTATGCATAATTTAACAATAGCACTGATCATACTGATGAGAACAAATAGAGCTATATATAAATGCATAATGATATCTTGAAGGTACTCTTCCTTTCCTCCCATTTTGCTTTGGGCCACGGGCGCGGTCATTTGGCCTTGCATTGGAAGGGTGCGGGCTGCAACATCACTTCGTGCACACCTCTTCCGTTTTTTTTTTGGGGGTGGGGGGGGGGACCCAGCAGGCAACGTTGAGGTATGGGACGGGATGTTCCGATGCTGAGGCTTCCAGTGTCCATGACGCCGGAAGGGGTCGACACCTCAGGGTGGAAGGGGTTCAGGGGGAGCACTGGTCAAAACCACACCCCGCTTGGCTGGCTTGAAAGGGGCAGCAAGGGTGAAACTGCCAGTCGGGTCGCCAACTTGAAGACACACACACACACACATATATATATATATATGAAGATAGATGGATAGATAGAAAGATATAAATATATATATATATATATATATATACATTGCTTTGGGGGGGGGGGATGGGATCGGATGGCCAACCAACGTCTCCAACGCAAAGCTTCCTGTTCAGGAAGCCCTGGCCAGACGGAGGCCCTTTTGTTCCTTCTACCGCCTGGAGCCTGAAAAGGACAGGCCCCCACCCCAACAGATGGGATTTCTTAGAAAGTCGTGACCTCTTTCCTTCAGGTGTCCAGCCAAGAGGCCTTGGACGTGGTGAAAGTGGTCACCGTGGAGCTGGGCGCGGGGCCCCGGGTTTGGATGGGTTTGGGGATTCGAAGGCCTAGTTCTTGCCACGCCCGGCCTCCAAACCACCTATAAAAACCACCAATTCGAGGGAAGATGAGGCAGGTGGGGCATTGAATCTCTGTTTTAAGTTTTCATTGCCAGATTTAGCCAACCTGTTGTCCTTTCCGTTTGGGCCTTTCCTCCATTTCCCACTTTCACCCAGCAAAAAGTCAACCAATTGCAGGGGCCAAGTTGTGCTATTTCTTCTAGAAAGCCGCAGGATGCGACGTGTTCTTTCCAGACTGTTCCCAGGATTTCTTTAGTTTTGGGAGGTCACTTTCAGAATGGTGGCCCCTCCCAAAAAAAGTCACCATCATGAGCCTAGTCAGAAAAGTTTCTACAACCACGAGCCATGAAGATGGGTTGCCACCATTTTCCTTAGGTGGCTCCGCGGGTAACCTTGGTTTTCTGCGCTCTGTTGCTCCGAGTGCCTCACTGTGCAGCCCACAGTGTTTTCCCGGTTCCCTCTTGTCTCACGAACGACTTGCTCTCAGGGAATGAGAAATGGAATGACCCGAAGATAAAGCATCCAACTGGTGGTTTCCAAGGGGACCAAAGCCGCCCTATCGCAGCAAGACGCAGGCCTTGGGCGCTCCAGCCGAAATCCAGCCGCTTTGTGCGGACGAACTGTTCGCGGATAGTTCGCAGAGGGGAGGCTGAATGAAGCTTCTATGAACTAAGGGATGCCCTTCAAAGAAACATAGGGGCTTTTGGATTGCTCATGTACCAACATGAGGCAACCTCCTGGGAGCTTTGTCTGAGCACGCCTTGCATGTACCTGTTGGGTAATTCGCCCACGAAAGCTGGCATTTTTGTTCATATCTCTCTCTCTCTCTCTCTGTCTCTGCCTGGGTTGGCAAAGACAAAAGGGGTACGTACAGCCTGTGCCTGAGAAATCTTTGTTTAACTTTTTGAGGACCAAATATGGGCCAAAATTAAACCAGCCGAGGTAGAAAGTTCCCCAAAAGTGAGATTTGCACATTTATCGATCGGATCACAATAGAGGACCCCCCTAAAATGAACCCTAAACCAACCCAAAAAAAAAACGTGTTTTCTTCAACCCGAAAAGCTTCACGGCCAACCACAAAAAGCGTGCCCCATCCAAAAATAAAAGCTTCAAAAGCCAACCGCAGAAAGCAGCGCGCCCTCCAAATCAGTGCCAACCCCCCCCCCCCCCAACCGAACGGTTCCTTCCGGTTCGAGACCCGTGAAATCCGCTCGGGCCGGTCCGAGCGGGTCCTCGGGCGGAGGCGACAGCTCGGAGGAAGTGGAGCGAGATGCCCAGGTCGCCGGTGAGCGTTGCGGGCTTGCTGCAGGTGGCTTTGATTCTTTTGTTTCTTGGTTGTTTTTTTTTTTTTTTTTTTTTTTTCTTATATTTTTCTTTGGTTTGGGGGGGGGCTTTCTTTTTTTTTTTGTTTTTGTTGGGGGGGGGGGTCTTTTGTTTTCTTTTGGTTTGGGGGGGGGGGAGGAGAAAAAAAGGGTGAAACAGGGAAACCAAAGGGACAGCCACCAAATTGGAGGGGCACACCCCTAAGAAAAGACACCCATGCCTAGTCTTTGAGACCAGATCGCCCCATGGACCTTTGGGAGCCGCTGGCGTTTCCATTGAAACCTAGAGGTGATCGACCTTTGTTCGCAGGGCTTGCAGCCCAGGGCAGCCACGCAGTTTCCGTTTTGTTGGAACCGCCTGCGGCCGCCTGCGAGGTTGCTTTTGGCCTTTTTGTTGGGGAGCCGGTTGGAGCCAAAAGCAGGCTGTTTTGGGCCACGGTGCGGTTTTTTGGGGCCCTGGTGGGTTTGAGACAGCGCAGCTAGATGTGGAGCCCTTGTGACACCCTGGTTCTGGCGGTCTGGAATTTGGAAAGTGCTCGTCCGCCCCAGCTGGAGAGGAGAGTGATTGGAGTTGCTTTTTTTTCTCGTTTTCTTTTTGGGGGGGGGGGATAGGCAAACACTTTCAATGACAGGTTGGGACCTTTAGAAGTGGTAGCGGGTTTTAGTTTGGAGGCATGCAACTCTTTTCCCAAACTGGTTTTTGCTGCAGCAATAAGATAAACTGGCCCCCGGATTGATGCACTTTTGCGGATTTTTAGGGCGGTGTCGCAGTGAAGTGATTTGGTTTCCCTCAAAGTCGAACGGACGCCGATTTCATCAACCACATTGTTTTCAAAAAATCTGCTTCAAAATCTGAACCTTAGGGTGGTTTCTGGTTTGCGACCTCGAACTCGAAATCATCTATGAACAAGTTGATGTCCAAAACCCTTGCGTACGTGTTTAGTACCAGCTGTGTCATATCGACCTGTGCGTAAGCGATATCTCCGCTTGCGTAAGGTGGCGTAAGCAGCTGGCACAAGCAACAACACCTCCACGTTCCACGTGCGTCTTTTAAGCCAAAGCATGCGTTGTGTAAGGCATGCGAAAGCTCGGGCGTAAGCAACAAGATACGTCATGGCTATGTTCCATGGTGATGAATTCTTCGTTTCATTGTGGAACCAGAGGTTTGTCAAACGGTGCTCAGGGGTTCAAGCCCGGCTCACCGGGGGCATCTCCTTGGTTGACGAACATTGGGTGCAGATCCTGGTTTATTCCTTTGGTCCCAGTGGGCGCGAGGGCATATCCCATTTTTCCGTTTGATATGTTGGTCCAGGTGAGACGAATGAAACCGTCCTTGTTTATTCCGTTTGACCCTTGAAAGTGCATGGCACAATTCCATCACTTTGGTTTAGGGCCAGCTTTTGTCCCGTCAGTCGGCCCAACCACTAGCATCCAGGCGCTCGCTTGCCTTTGAGCCAAGCCTTTGGGTTGAAGAAATGAACCCACCCTGGGCCGCTGGGCCCCTGGGCCTTGAAAGAGGAAGCGGCCGGCTCCGAACAGCGGCCACCCCGCCGCGGCCACCGCTCAAACAAGGCCAGGCCGAGACCAAACTCGTCGCGCGATGCGAGCGGACTCCGAGGCTGGGCCCGTTTGGCCCCAAGGTCCTGTCCTGGGACGGCAGCGACTCCTGGCCAGAGACTCAGCCTCACGGCGAATCCCCCAGTGCCCTTCCCTCCCCTTTTTCGGCAGAGGGTTCCCCTACTAAAATCGACTACAGAAAAAAAGTTGGTAGCCTTGTTCTAACCTCTCAAAATTTGGAGGACCTAGGTGACGTTCTAGGCCTTTTGGGCCGAGCACTATGTCGTATGGGATGATCATATGATTTGTGGCCGTTTTTGGCGAGTCCGCGGAAGCCGGGGAGTCTCGGCTTCGGGTGTTCGGGCCTTCGGGCCTTCGGGCGAAAGGTGCAATGCTTGGATGCTTTCTTGCCCAAACGCGGCGTCTCCAGAGTGCTTGAGTGCTTGAGTGCTTGAGTGCTCGATTTGTCGCGTACCGCGGCTGAAAGCTATAAACCATCAGGTCATGAGTTTCAGTAGTTGGCGAGGAGATCACGTAGAGTACATTTTCGACGTCTTTTGATTCTGTCCACCAGAGGGCCCATTCCGAATCAACAATTGAGAGAGCTGTTTTTTTTTTTCTTTTCCTCTTCCGTTTTTTTCTTCTTCTTTTTTTTCTCCGCAGAGCTGGCAGAGCCATGGTGGCCCCATGCGTATCTGATTGGGGAGGGCCCTCCTGACAAGGTGCGGAGAGGATTTGAGGATTTGACACCACTTTGGTTGGCACTTCGGGGGATGGGGTGGCAAGGGCGTGTGTGGCACGCTTTCGGGACTTGGTTTTGGCCAGTGTTTTGCCCGTGTAGTAGAAAGACACCTAGACCAAAAACAAAACAAAAAAGGTAACGAGCTCACCCGGAGCCATGCAAAATGATGCAAAGCGCAAGACCCTGGAAGGATCCCCTTTCCAGGACACCAAGAAGCATCTGAAACTCGGTTGCGAAGGTGCGGTTTCCAGGAGAGCAGCGCCCGGAATCTGGGAGGGCGCATCTTTTTTGTAGATGAGGCCCATGACCAGCTTTGTACAGCCAAATCTCAATGGGTTTCAGGCGCTGCTCAAATGAACATAACAAAGCACCCAACGGTGGCTGTTGCGCGTCTACCATGCGTCCACGGTGCAAAATACAAACACTGCTTTCCTGGTGCGGTATCATGCTTGTACCGCAGCCGTTCAGGGGTCAAAACCACATGGCTGTGGCTCAAAATTAAACAGGAGGGGTTATGCAGGGTTTAGTCCATGTTTCCACTTACCAGGGTTCCATTTGGCACCGGTTTCTTGAGCCACAGCCACATGTCTCACAGACCCTACTGATCCCCACGTTGATCCGCAAGTTTGATTTCCCTCACAGCCATCCGAACCAAGAGCTTGGACGCCCTTTGGGGCGCCAGCTGGCTCTTTGCGTTCAAACTTCGGCGCCGTTTTTTTTTTCTTCTTTCTTCCTTTTTCTCGTCTTCTGGCGGTACAGGAAGCCAGAGGACGTTCGAACGTCCCATTTCCCCAGCGAACAGGTCGAAGTAAGGGTGCCAAGGTTGAGAAGCAAGCGGTTCAGATCTTTTTTCAGCGTCGGCATCTGATTTCCCACTCCCCGTGCTTGAAGTGCGTGAGCCATGACAGTGCTGGACAGTGTGGGCCAGGCATCCGCAACGTTTGCCTTTCAGAGTTCAGTCGGGGGGAAGGGTTTGGGCCAAATGGCCTCTCCCCCTGAACATCGGTGGGCGCCTTTTTCGTTGCCTCGCTGAGTCAAGACCCTCTGGATGCAACGGCAGAGAGAGAGAGAGAGAGAATCACTTTCTTTTTGGGGGGTTCGTTCTTTGGGTAGGTTTTTGTTTGGGGGTGCCAGACTTTCCAGGGCACGGAAGCTTCAACAGGAAGTCTGACCGGGTTTTGCAATGGAAACAAACCCGTTTCTCCGAAGGAAGGCCACCCATCCCCTTTGAAACTCAAGAGGTGAATGCTGAAAGGCGTCCCGAAAGCCGCAGTTTCGCGATGCCTCACCCACTTGTAGAAGTTCTTCCGGAGTTTCCCCTCTAGGTTCAGGCAAGCCGTTGGTAGGTTGGATTGGGATTTGAAGCCCTGACTTCCCTCACTCCAATCCAAACCAGAAGTTGCGCCCTTCGGGCCGACCAGTTTTTGTTGAGACGGCTCCATGTGATCAGCCCCGTGTCAGGGTTGCTGGGTTTGGATGCTTCCCGAATTTGGGCTTGAAGCCCATAATGGCAAGGGCTCCCCCTGGCGACGAGAAAGCGCACAACGGTTGCTCCGATCGTCTGGCCATTGCGCACGCGGCATTCCGGCCTTTCCACGAAAGCCATCAGCACATGCTGGGGGGACGCTTGGTACTCGATTTGCATACATAGATCATCTGGCCTACAAGCTGCGGAAGCCACACCCCAGCCTGAGCCAACCCCGAGGCGTTTTGGGATGTACCCCGAAAAAGAGGAAACATCACAAACTGGGGGATCCCTATGTTATAGAAACACCCGCATGGTATTGCCAGACGTATCCTATCATTTTAAGCTCTTTGCCCTTTTGGTTTTCCTGCAGTTCCCCTTTGCGCAAGCCAAGAGTCTTCACTCTTTGTTGGGGGATCTGATTCAAAATTCGGTCCCTCCGACCAAGTCCGTGTTTCTTTTTTCGGGCTTCCCTTCCTTTTTGTCTCTGCCCGGATACGCCTTGGGTGTGGGGCAGCTTGCAGGGAGGGTCAAAATGTGCTCCCGATGTGGTTGCTAACAGCCGCCCTGTGAAGGCTGGTGAGAGAGGAAAGGGATGGAAGAAGTTACTCAGCGCCAGGCTGTTGCGAAAGGCTTCTTCATCCAAGTTCTCAGGGTCTTCTGCAGTTCTTCCATTTGCTGAAACGAATATTTCTTCTTTTTCGATGTTTTAATCGGAATCGAGTTCACTGGACATGTTCTCACTTTTTTCCAGGGGGCGAACAACCAAAGGGAAGAGGCACGGCCCGGCCTCCAGTTTCTTTTTGCTTCCGAGCGGCCTGCAGTTTCCAGGTCTTAAAGCCAAAAGGAGTCGCTTCCGCACCCTGGAAGCGTGGGCTCCTCTCGCAGGCGGCCTCCAAGGCCGCCTCCGGCGTCGGCAGCGCCCTGGCCACGGCCCGGGACCGGGCCGGCTCCGCGGTGGCGGCCGCACCCGCCGCCGGGGATCCGCAGCCGCAGCCGTCGGAGGAAGCCAAGGAGTCCGGCAGGCGAAAGCGATGAGTGGCTCAAGACCGATTCGGGTAGATTCGGGTAGCATATCTTGTACGTCCCCCTGCTGGTTTTAAATGGAATCGATTTCACTACTGGGAAACGGGGCGAAAAAGCAAATGAGCCACAATCAAAACCCGGGTAGATGAAGGTTAGTAAGGGACAATCTCCCTGGCCATAAATAGCTGCGGATATCCGCCTTCTTAATTCTTGAAGCATGGTTCTGGTTCGGCCGTTGTAATACCGGGTTTTGATTATGACTCCAATGCTTCCCTTGTGGGCGGGTGGTTCCCAGCGGACTCCGGTTCAACTTTTGGCCTCTTTTAGTTGTCTTTTCTGGTTGGTTTGGTGTCGGGTTTCCGAATTTGAGCCGCTGGAAGTTAAACTTTTGGGAGGGATCTGAGGGCAGCCCAGTATTGGTGGTCTTGTCAGCTTGCGCCTTTTTCTTGGTAGGCTTGGTATGAGGAGCCCTGTAGGATACAAGACATCGCCAGGCAAAGGTTGCACACTTTGAAGCTGGGAAAAAGAAGGAGCGCAGGGAATCCGAGAGACACACCATTGAACCCAGGTCCTTTGAAGTGGGATCTCCTGTTCTTTGTCTCACGGAGTGCGACACATTTTTTGGTTTTTGCACCTGGCAAAACAAATGACGCGGCAAGGGTGCTCGAGGTCGGCTTTGTTCGTGCAGTTTTTTTCTGAGGGGCCAGTGAGGGTTCAAGGTGTTTAGGGTTTGGGATGGGGTAAGGTTTTGAGGGTGCGAGGTGTTTTCCAGGGTTTGAGGTGCTCGCTTGGGGGATTGGTGGGTTTTTGAAGGGTGAAGGCTACTTCGTATTTGAAGTTTGCCAAGGGGCCGATTGTGGATGAAGATTCCAACGAAGAATGTGGCGGTTGTTTAAAAACGCAGCGGCTGTCGACAGGACATTCAACCCTCCCCCCCCAAAAATAAAGATAACAATAAAACAAAAAGAACTTACATTTGGTGGGCGTGTGGCCAATGTCCTGCAAAAACTTCTGTAGCTGGCGTCTGCGTTTGGTTGAGGGCCACTTTCTTAGGAGCGCGATGCTTCGTGCTTTTCTAGGGGTTGTTTCCCCATTCATTCCAACCATCGTTCTTTTGGAAAATCAGCGTTTTCCCCAGGTTTCTGGAGGTTTTCTAGAAGGATCCCTGGAAAGACTAGGGGAGGTACTCGTAGAGCTTTGGCTACCGATCTTCGCAGGTACCAGGGCGTACGCCAGCACCTGGTGGACTTCTTTGAGGCTGGGGCAGAGGAAAAAACAAAACAGAAAAAAAAACGAACGGCAGGGCCGGGGCTTCGCGTTTTCAATGGCCCAATTGAACCTTTTGGAAACCTAGGGGTCCTAGTAGTGCCCCTTTTCTTTTTTGGGGGAGGGTTGCCCTACTACAATAGGCTACAGAGAAAAGTTGGTACCCTTTTTCTAACCTCTCTACTGGAGGACCTAGAAACAAATGGGTGTGCTTGTTTTTGTGAGGGTGCAGCGCATCACTAAGGCATCAAACCCTTTTGGATTTGATCTGCTTCTTTCAAGGAATCCTTCAAGGGATCCTTTAAGACTGGACCAAGTGGCTATGATTTTCGTGACTGCGCTGCGGCATCCTAGGCACTTCGGTATCTGAGACCATGAAAATCCCATAGCCTTTCTTGGAGCTAGGGGAATCATCTGAAACCAGTTCTGAACGGTGCGAAATGGATTTCGTCCACCAGTTTGCGGGGCTGACTCATGTCTACACTTGGTTTTCCTTCGGAAGCTAGAAATTGTGGGTGCCCTTTGCCGGGGGATGATTCGTTTCCTTTTGGCTGCGTCACCGGGGCCTTTTTTTCTTGGTAGCAGGCTATGTCAGGGCTCAGGATCAGTCCTTGCCCCGTGACTGGGTTGCTTCCTTTTTCCCCCTTTCTTTTCCGGGGGCTTCGTTTTCCTTCGCTTTCACATCAACCAGCAAAAGGAGAGAGAGAGAGAGAGAGAGAGAGAGAGAGCCCTTTTTCCCATGGGGTCTCTGGAACAAAGGTGGCCACTTTCTCAAGGCATGGTATGACAAGGCAACTGAGGTGAACATTGGTAAAGTACTGAATGGATGGATATGAATTCCAGTCCACTTGTTCCTCCCCCAGATTTTAAGTTTCTGCCTGGTGGTGAATTTGGCCGCAGCTCCGGGGCCACTCCTCCGGATCGGGCCACGCGGATTGCCGACTCGACGGATTCGTCGTGGGAGGAGCGGCGGATGGCCGTCGCGCACCTGCGGGAGGCGAGCCGTGGCGCGTGGGGGCTGCGAATCGCTGAAGCGCGCGTGGGGCGAGGTCCACCCTCATTGCAGGGCAAACCGGGGCATGCACCTGAAAATAAACAAATACACACATACACACACACACACACATACACACACACATATATATATATATATATTTAGATATATCCATACAGAGAGATAAGCAATTGAATAAGACACTAATCATCTAACTAACTAATTAACTAACTAACTACCTAACTAAATAAGTAAATGCATCAATACATACACAAGTAAAGAAATTGATAGATGAATAAATACGTCAACAAATAGATAGATACATTCATAACTAGATGAAGGTAACAGCGCTATATATATATATATATATATATATCTATGCACATAGAAGAAAGCACATCGCTATAGTTAATAATCAATTTAAGAACTAAACACATGAATAAATGAATCCATAAAAAAGCTACAACATGCATGAATGCACATATAAACAAGTAAACAAATAAATAAATAAATGGATAAATAAGTAAATCAATTCATACCTACGTACAAAGAAGAAACACATATATATATATATATATAAATGAATAGATACATAAATGAATAGATGGACACATAAATCAGTAAATAGATTGAACACCATATGGGCATACAGGATATATACACTCATGTATCCTATCGTTTTCAGGCCCCCCCCCCCCCAATCGCAGTATGGGCTAATAGCGACAAACAAGGCCTATTGGGGGTGTTCCTTTGGGTGCCTTCTTTTTTGGTTTTGGGTGTCCCCTGTTTGGGTGGCGGCCCTGACAATCATGGGACTAGTGGCTAAGTAGTTGCTTGTCGCACTTTTCCCTTGGGTAGTGCAAGCCCCAGCTAGTTGAAGCGGAAGGAAAGCTCGTCGAGAACCCGATCCTTTCCTGGAAAGGTGGGCTTCCTCCAAGTGATGCCTGCTAAGTCCCTTCTTTTTAGGTGGGCTCTCCTCCAAAAAGCGACAAACCACCAAAACAAGAAATGGCAGGGTTGTGAGGTCCAGGGGTTTATTTATCCAACCACTTCCGTGATATCTTCAGGAATCTCCCCCTTTAGGAAAGGGGCGGTTCGTTTTTGGGCAGCACAGGTTCGTGGCTTCCATTGGCTGTGGGTCAAAACCAATGGTACCATTTTGGGAGGCGAATTCACCACCCATTTTAGTCTATTTTAGTGGGGATTGGGATGTTCACTGGGGGTACGGGGTTTTGACCCATGGCCATTTCAACCTTCGTCCTGCGACCTGGGGTCCGACCCGCGAGGCATTTGACTTGTTGCCTCGCTCTCGAAGGCGCATAGGTGTCCATGTTGGTGGTTTTGGTAGTACCCGGTCCATCTACCAGGGAAACAAATAGAGTGGCCCTGGTTTACCTGGTGACCACTGCTGGTTTAATATCATCTGCTGGCTTAATATCATCTACCAGGGAAACCCATCGATTTCCCACGAATAATCAACGCCTATGGTCCGATCGAGCGAGGCGGGGTTTGGGCGGCGGGCGCTGCTGAAGGGCGCCAAGACGGAGGCGCTGGACCGCCTGGTGAGCCTCTCCAAGCCCATCCGGAGCGAGCGAGCGGGTGGATGCGAGGGAGCGATGGGAGCGAGGGAGAGGGTCTCGGTTTTTGAGTAGTGCCCACGTTTGGTTGGGAGGGTTTTCCCAAATAGACTACAGAAAAAGAGTTGGTACCCTTATTTTGCCCTCTCTATTGGAGGACCTAGCAGTATGCGCCCCTGCCATGAGGTAAGGGACCTGGAGGGTTTTTACTTCTTGACAGGGTAGGCTTGAAGCCGCTGGTTTTCATCCCTTTCAAAAGGGGACATATTGGGTTTAAGTCTTGAGGAAGTCAAAAAAGTGGAACCCTGGTGAGGGATCTTTTTTCAGGGAAGCCATTGCTTTTCGACTCTGCAAAAGGTTAAACACCCTAACTGTTGGGCAGAGGGTAGTAGCTAGTCAGGCAAAAGCGAGGGCGGGGAACTGGATGTCTGCATGGTTGGGCAGATCATTTGCAGTTCAGATCATGTGAGTAGGTGGTTCTGGTTGTATGGGGCATGAACAATGACCTCTTTTCTTTTTGACAAAAATAACGTAGCACTCCCTGCAACAAGAATGACAACCATCTTGCTTCCTGTTTTAGAGTGAGCTCGCCGATTCGGGGGTAGAACGAGCTCAAGCCATGATACTTTACTTCAGGATTCCTTAATTCAGCTTTTGGAATTATAGTAACATTTGCCGGGTGTGTCTCTTGGTGTGTCTTTTTTGAGGGCACCCTCTTTCGGGATATTTTTACAAACCCTTTTTCGGGTTTCCCTAGTTTTTGCAGACGCAGCCAATCGAGGGAACCCAGGATATGGTTGCATGGGGCGTCTAAAATGACCCATATAGATTTGATAGCATAGCACTCCCTGCAGATGTTTTTTGACACCCATCTTGCTTCCATTTGCTTAAGGGGAATCGATTTCACTACTGCTATTTGTTTTTTCCCCTCGGGTCGAAAAACCAACTGGAAGCTTGGCAGAGCCACAAGCGCCACGAAATGTTGGGGCGCCCTCGATGGATCCGCGGTTGGTCTGGCCCCCCTCCAGGAGCCGAGTTCTGATGGCGCTCCGGGAGTCCATGAAGGAGATGGTTTGAACCTGGGCCCTGGCGCCTATTTTAGTAAGAGCCAAAAGGAGTTTGTTGGAAGAAGGGTTGTTTAATCAGTTTAAGCAGTTGGTTGGCCCAGCTGGTTGGCCTTTCTGCTTCCGGCACCTTCTCCACCTGAAGGTCCTGCTTGATCCTCCAGCGGTTGCAACACTGGCTGAAACCATCGGATGAGTTTGCGCTTCTGCAGCCTTTGGTTTGCATGCCCTGCGGAGTCTCAATTTGATTTCGGACAAGGCCCCCTTATGGTTAGTAGGTACACGGAAACCAACATGAAACTATTGCCATTCTGATGGATTTCGGATCCCGAATTTTCAGGGTACTTTTAACAAGAGCTTCCGCGGCGCTGGAACTAAATGAGCCAGCCAAGCCTCTCTCTCTCTCTCTCTCTCTCTCTCTCTCTCTCTCTCTCTCTCTCGAGAGAGAGAGAGAGAGAGACAGACGAGAGAGAGAGAGAGAGAGAGAGAGAGAGAGAGAGAGAGAGGGGGAGAGAGAGTGAGAGAAAGAGCCAGACAAATGGATAGCTAGAGACATAGAAGTGCGGGAGGAGCATTCCCGCAGCTCTCGCTGCAGCATCGAAACACGCGGGCCGAAAACGTGGCCCTGCGAGTGAGTTCGGCTCTTGCGCCCTTGACGCCTGACGGAACGCAGTCGGTCATGCTCAGACTGTTAAAAGTAATGTCTGACTCAGAGCGGAGCCTGGCGCATGTAGACATGCGCAGCAGAGAGTTGCCCTGTGTCATTCTGCCACTGATGGCGCAAGCGAGCTGGAGCTGAAGCTGTGCAGAAACCGAATTTTTCGGTTATCGCAGAAGAAGGCGTGATTACTGACTTGAGCTGAGAGCATGTCTGTCTCAGTGCAAGAGAAGCGTCTGTGCAGATCTCGGAGACCCATAGCATGGCTTGGCAGAGAGCGGGCGTGCGTTTCGTGGCAGAGACCGGCCATGTAGAGGCTGGCCGCGGAAAGTGGAAATGGGCTGAAGCAGGGGCGTGGGCGCTTGCTGGTGGCACCACTGAAAGGCAGCTGCTGCGGGCACAGGGCTTCCAGCAGCCGATGTGTAAGCTTCAAACACTGCCGGGGTAGGCCTGCGCCAGGAATTTTGGCGTGGCTTGACTAGCCAATGCCTTGCAAGTCCTGACTCCAGACTCTCCGGGCCTGTGCCCCGCCCGCACAGGCGCGCCGACACGGCAGCAAAGAGACAGAAAGAGAGAGAAGAGAAGAAGCTTCTCTGTTGAAACTTCAAGCCCCCGGCCCTGCCGGACTTGACCAGTAGTTTGTACTTCAAGGAAAACCAAACGCAAATAGTACATTCTAACTTTGCAGGGGGGCCGAGAGCGCCCTTGAGCTGGCAATTTGTTCGAAAATTCTTGAGGCTACAAGGGCCGCTCAAGAGTTAGAATGGGTTGCGGGGTACCAGGCGAAGCATCATGATCAGGGGCTTAGTAATTTCCGAATTGGCAGGTGCTTGGAGACCTTCTTACTTGCTCAGTTGCTCTTTATTGTCAAGAAGCAACTTCCCGTTCACCGGCCAGGAAAAATGCCCAGGTCTCACGCGGGATTTGGTCAATTTGTTCTTTGGAGACATTCTGAGAAATACCGCCCTTCATTGGCTTTTGAGGGGTTACCAACGGTGAAAGTAATTACTTCCTCGGAAACCTAGGGTCAGGTGCCAACGAAGCGCCCAGATGCCACGTCAGCCTGCCGCTTTGCGCTCGCCCCTTAACACCGAAGGAGAAACGGAACAAGGGTGCCACGGAACTGGGGTAGTGCTGTTCTGAAACCCCTCCCAACTTCAGGGTTCCACTTCTTGACTACCCTAGACTTACACCCAGGGGGTCATTACCACCAAAGGGGAACCCCTGGGCTTGAGCCTATCTTGGGGTCGAAAAGTGGAACCCTGAACTTAGTCATTGAGGTTGCCTTTCTCAACCGCTCAAGGAAAGCGGTCCGTCCCGCCGGAGCATGTGCGACTCAGCGGTTGCCGGAGCAACCTGAGACGAACACCCCGAAAGTCCATTGAGACCCGATTCTGGACCAGGTCCTGGAGCGGTTCCCGCCCAGACGGGTAAGAGACTTGCATTAAACATATCCTACTGAGAAGTGATCAACGCAACTTTTGGCCGGCGTCATTGGTCCAGGTTTTCCAGGTGAAGGTGGGCAGGTTTTCACCCAAAAAACAATCTCGAAACATGTTTTTTTCTTTCTTTTTTTTTCTCTGGGGCTTTGTTTTTTCTCTGGGGCTAATGGGACGTGTGCCGGGTCCGTTAACAGCCGCAGCCGGTACCGGCTCTTTCAAGGGCATAGCCCAGCAAACCGGACATCTGTGGCCGAAACCCCTCAAAAAGTCTTAATGAAACTGTAGTCTTGCGGTTTCCGGCTTCACCATGGTTGCTGTTGGGAAATATTTCCCCATTTTTGCTAATTGTGGTTTAGTGGTTGAAATCCAACCACTTAACCGCTAAAATTTCAAAATGTTTGCTCCCCAAACCCAACGTCAACCGAGTCACCCATCGGCCGCGGCTCACTTCCACGAGCCCCGGTGAGCCACGGCTTCGGTCGGAGGATGTGGCGCTGGCCGATCCAGACATGTGGTCCTCCGCGCGGCTGCGGATCGCCAGCCTCATCGATCACTTTTGGGAGCCCCGGCGTGGGGCCATTTTTGTTTGGCACCCTGGAAGCAAAACATGGAGGCGGTTTAAACAATAGGCTCTGAAAGATATATTTATACGGTTGTTTTTTTTTCCTGGCAGCTTCAAGGATCGGCCCCGATTTGGTACCCTTCAAAAGGAAGCCAAACACATGGAGGCTGTTTAAACCACAGGCAACGAAGTATATGTTTAAACAGTTGTGTTTTTTTGCTGGCAGCTATTGCTCCTTTGTTTGCAGTTGCAAAGGATCAAGCCCAAACAAATTCCTGTTTCTGCCAGGGTCAGCGGGCAACTGCGTCGCGTTGAAAAGGCCCCTGCTCTGTTTTCATGAAAGTTCTGCCGCTTTTCTTGGGCATTGGCAGGCATGGGTTTTAGAAAAAATCGGCCGCTTTCCACCAATATAAGCTGAGGCAGTACACGCCCCTTACACGCCGTGGCGAATTTCTCAGCTCCATACCTCCAACACCTCCCTGAAAACGCCAAACGATTCTGTGGATACCGTAGAAAAACCCCGCAGCCATGGGGCTGGGTTGGACAAATGTCACTTCCACATGATTCCACACCGTTTGTAGGTAAAAACGAAACTCAATGTTTTCTCGTGTTTCGCCGGGGGGTGGGGGGGGGGGAGGGGGTTGGGAATATTTTGTTATTTTATGTGTTTTTTCTTCTTCTTCTTTTTCTCGCTATTTTGGTTGAGAATCTTTTGTTTTGTTTTTTTTTTTTGGGGGGGGGAGTTGGACTTCAAGCGTCAGTTCTCCCCGAGCGCTCACGTAGGACGACCTCACGGTCTACGTGGAATCCGTGGTGGTGGATGCCAAGGCGGGGGCGTTCCGATGGCGGGGGTTGATGGGTCGGAAGCTGGGGAGGGGTTTGACACTTTTCATGGGGGCTGAGGGGGGCGGGAGGGGAGGGGGAGGGAGCAGAAATACAGGTGTTGATTTTCATTCAAGCTCGGGCAGCGAGATGCTGAGAGATCGGCTGTGTTCCTCGACATCTAGTCGGAGCCGCCGTACCACGCTCTGTGTGCGCTATGGTGTGGAGAGCTCCTCCGCTGTCTACTTGCCAGATGAATGAAGATGTAAATAGCTGTCTCCGGGAAATTCTTGGTTATAGATGGTTATCTGTAAAATCCTTGATGTAATTAGCATCTTAAAGGATTTTGATTGTAAACGAAAAGACACTATAAATAAATAAGGAATTCATATGAAAGTAAATATTAAATTGTATTATAATAAACATATGCTATGATTAATAAAAAGATAAAATAAATGTAAATAAACATGAAAAGAGATCCAAAAGTAGGTAATAAGAAAGAAAAAAGCTAGGATTACATGATACATATTATGCTGTAGCACATTTTCATTTTGTTCTTTCTTTAGGAGCTATAATTGCTATCTTCTCTGGAATAATCTTCAATGGAGAACAGATTGTTGGTACTAAGAATTTATTACTTTGATCCTCATGTACACTCTCTCTTTATCATTGTAATTTAATATTTATTGCTATTCTTCTTACCTTTTCCCCAATGCATTTCTTAGGATTTAATGTTATGCCAAGAATAATCCCATCCTTTCCAGATTCTTTTCATTCCTGGAATTACCTGTCATCTATTGGATCAGGAATAACTTTCCTATCTTTTTCTTTTCTTGCTGGTGCTGCTGGTGCTGCTGGTGCTGGATAGCGACTAAATAAGGCCTTATTTGGGCTCCCTCCCCCCACCCCAGCCCCCATGAGGGTTTGCTTCTCCAATTCAGATTGTGGATGGTGGCGAAATCCATTTCGCACCACCAAAGAAAGCCTGGCTTCTGATGATCCCACTGTAAATACCAACGAACAGTGGTTTCAACCACGGTTTCCAAGTAATTCATTTTTTAAATCGACCCACAGTAGTCATTGATTCAACCCCAAAACAGGACATCAATCCCGCGGACCAGGATGCGAGTTTCGAGACTCTCTACTTTGTGGATGAGAGTGTTAGTGGCAAGCCAACGGCGCAAACTCTTGTGGCCAAACCACTCAAGGGGGAAGCTCTGCACTTTGACGAGTGCCTCATTTTTAGAAAGCCAAGGGGGGTAGATGGCTAGGCCTCCTGCTTGCTCCGTTTGCAGCTGCATCGCCGCCTTCTAAGGAACGAGTAACGCACTTGTCTAACAAAACAACATTTTTACTCGGGGCAAACCGTGGCCCCCACTTTGGCTTCTAATGTTGGCCCCAAATGAATCAATCCCAGTTTATTGCTAGGGGGGTGTCCCTGGGTTTGGTGGGGAATCAGACCACCGTTCGAGGAGAACACCCCATATCAATGAACAGGGGTAGCTTGCCAAAACCTGCCTCCTACTGGCCACGTCTTGTTGCTTTTTTTGCGCGAGCCGAGTGATAGAGAGAACTCTGGTGGTCTTGGGTTTGAGAACGCCTACGCCCGCTGAAAGTGATTTCAGAGCCCATGCAAATCAACTACTTGGGCCGTTTTTTTGTTTCCCAATGCATGTCATCAGCTAGAGGGTGAAAGTAGCTGGGCAACAACTTTAATTTCGGTTTCGCCATCCTCTGTACGTATCCTTATAAAAGGGCATCGTGCCATCTATCTTTCACCCTCGTGTAACTTGGGGATGTGCCGAGTGTGTGGATGTTTTCTTTTGCAGGTCTTGGGATTCAATTGGCCCACGAAGCTCAGTATGGAACAAATGGATCATTGTGATTCTTTTCCAATCGGAAACTGAAGCAAGCAGTGATCAGGTAGCCCCCAAGCAATGGTTTGGACTGGTTCGGATTCGGGGATTCGGATTGGACGGTAAATGGGAACCCCCCCTTCACCGGCAAACGCCCAATCCAAGGCCACCAACTAAGAGGTGCATTCTGCTTGCATGTTAGGACTTTAACTTTTTGCCAATCAATGGGTGTTCCGTATTAAGCCACTAAAAGTTAGGGTTTCCCAGGGCTTCATTTAGTGGTGCTTATCAGGATTCCGGCTGCAACCCTCCACAGTCCAGGTTTTGATTCTGACTCACCAATTGGAGAAGCCGAAATGCCTTGCCAGCGACTCGGGCTCGGCAGGACCAGATGCTGAGCCGGGCGGCGGACCACGCGGTGCTGGAGAACTTCGGCTCGAAGCCCTGCTGCCTGGGTCTTCCGTGGCTCAGGCGGCCTGCGGGATCAAAGGCTTGGGGATGATTTTGTCCCAACCCGCCCAGTAGGACCTACTGATGGTTGCGAAGTCTTGCACCACTTTGAAACCCGGGGAAAATCATGATTTGTTGGCATTTGCAGCGGAATCATGAGACTCCAGGGGTTTTCTGGGTGGTGCAGGATTTCGTCCATCCACAGTATGTAGACCTTTGTAACCGGCGCTGCTCAGGTATGGTTATAAGGGTATCCGTTTACCCCCGCTTTCAAGGAAACCCAAGCAAGGACTTATGGACAGGGACCCATCCCATACATCAACCAGATTTGTGCGTCTTGTTTTTGTTTGCCCAAAGGGAAACCAGCAGGACACCCCGTAATTTTGTCTTTTGACACATGTGACGCATACCCGTATGGTTCAATACCAAAGTTAGTTCAATGGTTATAGAAGTGAACTATGTATAACTGTCCGTCCCCAGATACTGTTGATGGACCACATCGCACACCAGTAGCTAGGTGGTTTGCCCCATCACTCATAGGGCTTCATGATTCGTCCATCCACGGTATGCAGAGAGCTGGGGCGTCCACTGATACAATCTATTTTCAAAGGTTGACTAGATAAGCTGGATATTTCCACCAGCGGGTGTGCCAGTCTGTGCCAGTCTGGGGCTCCAATACTCACTTCCTGAGTTCATGAACTTTAAACTTTTTGGGAAGACCATTTTAGTGGTAAATCTAAAGTTTGGACTTGTTTTGGGCCATCCACTCAGCCAGTGAGATGGGAGTTGAGGTGCTTGGGATTGCTGTAGGACACCCAGAGGAGAACCGCCAGTTCGGTGTGAGCAAGTACCAGGTTTGAGCCACCTGGCGCCCCTTGTGGATCGCTTTCCTTGTTGAGGGCCAACTGAACCGATCAGCACGCAGAATGGTTGGCAACTCACGAGTCATGGTTCAACCATCCTGTGATTGTTCGATGATTGACAGGCTCCTCTCAGTCGCCCAAAGCGAATCGACCTTTTGACCTTTTGGTTTTCCAGTTTTGGCAACCATTTTTCGCCATGGCCCCAAAAGGTGATCACCTTTTATTTCTGGGTCCAAACTGGGCAAGTGAGTCCTACCAAAAAATCCACGAAGCAAAGGCAGCAATGGTGAACCATTCATGGTTGATACCACTCAACCATTCAAGATTATTCAAGTTGTCATTCGATGATTGACGGGTTGCCGCCAAAAAAACTCCACGAAGCAAAGGCTCCTCCGGGTTGGCGGCCTCCGGCTTCGGTTTGGGTTCTGTACCTTTAGGGCGAGGCTGCTCTACGGCTATCTGCCCTTCGACATCTCCATCTTCGGGCAGATCAAGCGGCCCGGCTTCTGGATTCTGCCCCTCGGCTTTGGCTCAGACAGCATTCTGTTTTTTTTTTCCTGGAGAAGCTCTGCCGACATCACTAGGGAGGAACGTCAAATGTTGCTTTAATAGAAATCTTAGGGCTCCATTTCTTATTTCGGTTTTGACTAGCTTGCCCAGAATTGTTGCTTTGCGAAAGATATAGGGGCAGCCATCCAGATTACCCAAGTCCAAAGGAGGTTTCGAGTGCTTTTTTGTCACACCCCGCTTGCACACACTGGGAGGAGGCCTTATAAGCCAAAACAGCTTTGGAGTTTGACCGTTTGCTCCCGAGCTTTTGGGAGGAGGGGAGCTTGCCTGGCTGGGATGAGCAAATGATCAGGAGGTCAACAGGTGCTCGCTTTCCATCTTTCTCGTTCACGTAAAGCCGCTCATTCCCTGGTTCCCAAGACTCTGGTCGGATGCCTGCATGGTTGGTTTCTCCTTTTCCGCCCCCCACCCGCAAAGGGGGGTGGGGGGTGGGTAAATGGCCAAGGACGTTGCTCAGCATCACCCCCACCTATGGCGTGCGGGTGATCTTCTTTGCGATCCTGCTGCTCTGCATTTTGGGGGGCAACCCGCCGGACGAGTATCAGATGGTGACCTTCATCCTCTCCTTCAAGGGCCGGGAAATCACGCGCCAGGGTTCCTCTCCAAGTTGCCCTTGTCTTGCTGGTGCTATAGGTAGGGAATGAGAAATGGAATGAACCGGACGGGGATTCCCGAATAAAGGGGGCCACCAGTTGGGATGGTTTTTCCCTCGGGGTCAGACTCCATGTCTCATGCTCCATCGCCTCTCTCGCACCGATCGCAAGACCAACTTGAAATTCCCTGGGAGGCCATGGCCTTTTGGGTCCAACCCCATCTGAATCTAAACCAGTGGAACCCATCTACTCAGTTGTTCAGTGGCACTTGTTTTTTGGTGGCTGCCCCACTAAAAATGGTCTTCCCCAAAAAGGGTTCGCATTTTTTCCCAGGGTCACTGACCAACTGAGTCTATGTTTAACCAAACTGACCGGATCAAAAGGCATCTGCGAGCGGGTCCGCTCCGAACCACCGCGTGTTGCATCCGATCCAGGCGCCCAGTTCTTGTCCAGCGGTGTCCTCATGGCCTGTGTGGCGGCGGTGAAGTACTACATGCGCAGCGCTTAGACGAAGTCCTGCAGGTGGTTATTGATAGGGTTTTGCTATACCCGGGATTGTGAACCTTCCCAAGATTTCTAGGGCTTTATCCATAGGCGCATATCGAGGTTGTGATTCATCCCTCCATATTTCTAGATATACTGTAGATGGACGATATCGCACCACTTGGAATCCGTGGTTGAAACCGTGGTTGGTTGGCAGTTGCAGTGGGAATCGAATCCTTTCAGGGTTTGCTAGGTGGTGCGAAATGGATTTCGCCATCCACAGTTCTAGGGCTTCCATAGATGTCCATCCATCGCCCGGGGCTATGGGGCATCCCTCCTCCAGAATCGGAACTCGCTTCACTGCGGTGTTTTGTTTTGTTCTTTTCTTCCCGGACTTTTTTAGAGCTTAGACGTTTGAATTTCTGAAGGGTCTACAAAATTCACCATTATTTTTTTCCTTGCAGTCTTTTTGAGGGGAAAGGCGATTCTGCCATTTGTGGTTTGGTGGGTCCCGTGTAAATCTGTGGGGGGCATCCCACAGTCTCTTCTTGGCTTCAGGGGATCAACACAGCAAGGTGCGTCAAGCCTGGAGGGGTCCACACCTGCGACACCAACGGCCCGGGCGTGTCGCAGGACGGAAATCACAATCTTCTTCCGTTTGCCGAAGAGAATAGTTTTTGTTTTCCATTTTTTCTTTTAAGGGAACCGATTTCACTACTGGACATGTTTTCTCATTTTTTGAGGGTTCTTAACAAAATGGAAGTCTTTTCAACGGCATCCTGTTTTCAGTTGAGGCGCTGGCTCACAACAGATTCGGGCAGTGAAGGTTAGCAAGGGACATTAACAAAAACAGATATATAGGTGCGGATATCTGCCTTCTTAGTTCTTTACATGGTTCTGGGTACAGCATTTTCATTCCGCTCGGGATTGATTATGACTCAGTTTTTCTATTCAGGGTAGCTCCCGAGTCCCGATCACGGATCCAAGGGGTAAGGTCAGCATAAATTCATGACGAGCTCACCGATCTGAAAGTGAAGCGAGGGAGAAAAACGCAAGAGGAACGCACCACTCTTGAGGGGATTCCGTAAGAATTGCATACATTTGCCCAGAGTCATAGGGCACGGCCCATTGAATTTCATTCATTGGTGGTCCTTTTGCTTAGGGAATGGGATGCGGCTTGGCTTCAAGCTACCTGCTGCTTTGTCTGCACAGATTCTTGGGGGGCATACAAGAACTCATGTACTGTGTGTGCATGTGTGTGTGTGTGTGTGTGTGTGTGTGTGTGTGTGTGTGTGTGTGCGTGTGTGTGCGTGCGTGTGCGTGCGTGCGTGCGTGCGTGCGTGCGTGTGTGCGTGTGTGCGTGCGTGCGTGCGTGCGTGCGTGCGTGCGTGCGTGCGTGCGTGCGTGCGTGCGTGCGTGCGTGCGTGCGTGCGTGCGTGCGTGCGTGCGTGCGTGCGTGCGTGCGTGCGTGCGTGCGTGCGTGCGTGCGTGCGTGCGTGCGTGCGTGCGTGCGTGCGTGCGTGCGTGCGTGCGTGCGTGCGTGCGTGTGTGTGTGTGTGTGTGTGCCTGCGTGCGTGTGCGTGTGCGTGTGCCTGTGCGTGTGCGTGTGCGTGTGCGTGTGCGAATGCGTGCGTGAGCGTTCTGGGTAGGTACTTCTGAGCTCCGCTTGGTGGTTATGGTTGTTTGCCCTTATGTACGTATATGAGAATGTGCAAACATTTGCCCACCTACCTACCTACCCACCTACCCACCTACCTACCAGCTTACCTATCCAATCTCTCTATCTATCTATCCATCCATCTATCTGTTTGTCTGTCTATCTATCTATCTGTCTGCCTAGTCTTAATCTAATCTAGTCTAATCTTATCTAATCCATCAAATATATCTAGCCTATCTACTCTATAGTCTATCTTATTTGTTTAACCTGATTGATCTAACTAACCTATCCTATCCTATCCTACCCTGCCCCACCCTACCCTACCGTTTCCTATCCTATCCTATCCTGTCCTGTCCTGTCCTATCCTATCCTATCCTATCCTATCTATCGATCGAATTATCTTTCCATGTGCTTACCTGCCTATGTCTGTCTGTCTGTCTGTCTGTCTGTCTGTCTGTCTGTCTGTCTGTCTGTCTGTCTGTCTGTCTGTCTGTCTGTCTGTCTGTCTGTCTGTCTGTCTGTCTGTCTGTCTGTCTGTCTGTCTGTCTGTCTGTCTGTCTGTCTGTCTGTTTGTGTATTTGTCAGTCTGCCTATCTATTATTTTGTCAATTCACTGATCTACCTATCTTTCTATTCACCTATTTATTCATCTACCTATCTGCTTGTCTGTCAGTTTATCTGTTTATATGTCGATGTATCTGTTCTATCCAGATCCATCTGTCTGCGTGTCTGTCTGTCTATCTACCTCTCTACCCACCAGCCTATCTATCCATCTATCTAGCTATCCAAATAGCAAGCTATTTCTCCATCTTTCTATCTAATCTACTCCAACCTAATGTAATCTAATCTATCCATGTATTTCCTCATCCCTTCACAAGGTTTGATAATTTTTCAGGGAAGACAACTCGCGTTTTCTTTCATGTTTGAGGGCCACCATGTTTCCCCTTTGGTTTTTTCACCATCACCTTTCGGGTCAGTTCTGAAGTGAGTTGTTTTTTGGGGTGCTGTTCAAAGCAAGCATCTGGGGCGGGTCCTGAAGCTTTCCATCGGCCCCAGCCGGGTGTATGGAGCAAGGGCTCGCCTCTCCAGCGGTTTTTCGCAGGACCTGGTGACGAGCTCGGTGGACTTCTTTGGGAGCTGCGTGCTGGTGTGGATCGCCTTCCTCCTGTGCCGGGTCCAAAAGATGTGGGCTAGGGTGTTTTTAGCGCCTGTTTCGGTGTTTCTGTGGTCAGGAGTGCTTCCCGGGATGGTTTGGGTGTTTTGGGGGTCTGCCCCCAAAGTGGGTAGAGCTCGATTTTTCCAATCGTTTTGGGTCTCCACAAGTGCGGTGAATGAAGGCTGGCAGGGGGCATCCCCAACCAGAAGTAGAAGAGTTTCTCTTTGCTTTTGGATGCGGAGTTTAGAGGTGGCTGGAATTCGGCGCCAGGCGGTCAGGAGATGTCAGGATAGACAAAATTGGACCCTTCTATCCCTCAGAAAGGTTCCTACCCCCCAAGGACCTCTGAAGGTTCTAAGACTACTTTTTTTGGAAGGTGGGAGCGGGGACATTCCCAACCAGAAATAGTAGGCTTTGGACAAGTCCCTTGACGTAGTAAGCAGTCCCGTACACACACACACATTGACAAATATATACATATACATATATATATACATACATATGTACATATAAGTATATATATATACATATATATATATATATATTCATGTTCTGCCTCTGCTTCCAACTGGTGCTAGGATTAGCTTCAACATGTATTTAACAATTATAACAAGTTGAGAAACAACAAGTATGCTTCAGGCAACGTCCATCCCGGATTACACTGGGAAGTAGAAGGGCAAAAGAGACACTAGGCCCCCCCCACCCCAGCTCCAGCTGCCCCCAGAAGCTAATGTCCGCACGGCTGGTTGGTTGGTTGGTTGGTTGGTTGGTTGGTTGGTTGGTTGGTTGGTTGGTTGGTTGGTGGGGGTAAGATGCCGCGCTCTTTTTTCCGAGGATCCCCAAGAAAAATCAGGTGAGCCACAATCAAACGTAGATGAAGGATAGTAAGGGACACTCCCAGCCAAGAATAGGTGCGGCCGCCTTCGTTGCTTTATGCATGGTTTTGGTCGCTTTTTTTTGGTTCACCGTTTTGTACTAGGGTTTGATGATGAATACCCTCCCACGGCCTTCCAAGCAACCTCCAAGAAGCTTGTGGCAGCCCTTGCTGGAGAATGAATTCCGCCCCCCCCCCACAAATAACTTAAGCGAGAACAAACCAATAGCCCAGACCCTAAGTGTCCACCTGGCTGTGGGTGGGAAACTTGGAGGCTGCCGTGGACCGCGAGCTTCGGGGCGGCGCGGGACTTGGACGAGGACAGCGGCGGCACCGAGAAAGAGGAGGGCTGCTGCAGCAAGCGCCTGGCCGAAACGGGGAGAGACACGCGGCAGGCTCGCGGCCACTGGGTTGGGGGCGTGGGGTTGGGGGGGGGAGGTGGGGGTGGGGAAAAATAGTAAAAGGAGAATTCAAAGAATTATTCTTTCTACTATTTTTTTCCAACAGCAACACAACAAACAGAAAACAAAATCCAGAACAACAAGCAAACAAAATACATAATCACAACCACCAACAAACATATTGAATCACAGCATGCAACATTAAATACTTCAATCAAGCATACCAACAAAACAGCAACACTCTAAATCATCAAAGAACCCAAACTCAAAAACACACATCAACAAAAAACAAAGCAACATACCAACAAAAAATATCACAAGAGTATCAAACAAAACAAAAACAAACAGTCAAAGCACGAAAAAACTGAAGAAGCATACCAAGTCTAAACAACGCACTTTGAAAGAGATAAGCAAATTAGGAAAATATAATAATTCAATCTTTACAAACGATAAATATATTACAATTATAACATATAAAATTTTACATGTGATAATCATAGTATGATTAAACCTGTTTTTAGTGTTTCCAGTCTCCTATGTTGTTCCAAGAACTGCTCAAGATGTTTCTGATATTATACCAGATTAAGTTAACGTCATAATCTTTCATTGGTGCTCTTTGTTGTATTAAATAACGCAACACTGATATCAAAGTATAATAATTACAATGCATTGTTGTCATTCCTCCTCTTTCATTAATACTATTACCATTACGTTTAACGAGTTCTTCTTTCATTATGTTTTCGTAAATCTCTTTTATCCATTGATGATTTTGTTCTCCATACTCAGCGAACATATCTGGATATATATCTTTCATTGTTTTATCGTTTTTAATTATTTCAATGACTTGTTTATACGATGGATAGGGATTATCCTTAATGAAACTCAATATTATCTTTCTATCCTGTTCCAGCTCTTTTTCTGTCACTCCTATCATTGGCATTTTCCTCTTATTATATTAAGTATTTATTCCTTTAAGTCATTTTACATTATAATTATAACATATAAGGGTATAAATGTTATAATCATAGTATGGTTTATGGACTAATCAAAAAATAACAGATATCTTAAGAATGTGAGCCCACCGTAAATCCAAAAAACAAGCTATGTTAATCCAAAAAACAAGCTATGTTAATCCAAAAGACAAGCTATGTTAATCCAAAAAACAAGCTATGTTAATCCAAGAAACAAGCTATGTTAATCCAAACAACAAGCTATGTTAATCCAAAAAACAAGCTATGTTAATCCCAAAAACAAGCTATGTTAATCCAAAAAACAAGCTATGTTAATCCTTAATCCGTCAAACTCACCAAGATTTCACAAATTAATTCGCTAGGTATTTTGTATAAATCTTCTTGCTTATGTATTGTTGGGTTGTCTCCCCATTTTTCCTTAGTGCCTGATGGAAGCCGTTGTGCTGTTTCAATATGTTTATTATTCCTGATGTTGCCACAATCCTTTTTACATAATTCTCTAGGTTTCCAAGTTGTAATGTTATTCCAGAGCCTGGTGCGTTTTCTGTAAGGCATTCCATATTTACAATAATCAACATCTTTAAATTCAATCTCATCCATAAACTCCTGATGTTTTAATAATCCAGTTTGTGGATTTTCGATTACAAAATATTTAGGATTGAAATATTTGATAATCTCAATAGTTTTTAAGACAATACTATTTGCATATTCGATATTCCTAATTCCCCTAGTTTTTGCTACACTATATTCAGTGCATGGGGGACTACTCCAAATAAAATCAAAATGGTTTCTGTCAAACTGTTTGTAATCCCACTCCAAAATATCAATATTTATATCAGCATTTTTCAAGTCTAATGATATCACATTAAAACCTAAATCACGAGCAACTTTACCAACAGAACCACTGCCTGAAAATAATTCTAATAAATTCATTTATTAGAATTATTTAGATATTAATTATTCAACTAATACATATACTCCATCATCATTTTTTGAAATTTTGTAAAATTCTAAAGTGGTGCTTTTAGGTTGTTTGATTTTTCCTGTATTCAACATATCACAGTATTTCTTTTGCTTTGTAGGGTAGTCGCCCGATGGTCTTCCTATAGATTTTGCTTGAAATATCTTTTCGATTTTCTCCTTCTCTTCGTTGCTTTGTTGTTCGCGTTCAACTGGTTTCATTTTGTCATCAATGGATTTAATCATATCATTTAAGGTTTTGATATTTTTACCAATTAATGTTATCTTCTTCATTAAATCATTAATAGTATAATTCTCATGTTCAGACATTACTATATATTTATTTAGATAATTATTTATTTAATTATACAATTTACCCGAATAATATAATTTTATATATGTAAATAAATTATAGTCTAACAGTTTTTCATCAATTTTATTTTTCAATTTTATTAAACCTTCATCGTTACCTGTAATTTCAAAAAACTTCAACATTTTATCAAATTTATCCGGTTTAGTTATACCTTTCATAAAATATTTATTATTAAATTTAGCATCTAACCAATAAAAATATTCTATACTCAATTGTCTAGCAAAGTTTTTATCACCATCGAATATATCATTAATTTCTTCATCATCAAAAGTTATAATTCTATGATCTTGTCCATTCATAGTTGGCATTATGATTATATAAATAATTAGATATTTATTTAAATATTTATTTATTTATAAAGTGCAATTATGTTAAATCTACTCTTTAAATACTAATTTTTCATGATTTGTTTAATAGTTTCCTGAGTTTCCTTATCACCATTTCCCGAGAGTGATGCATCCTTACCCCATTTAAAAGTTATATTATGGACATCAGTTTCTAAGTTGATACTGTCTTTAGTTTTATCAATACTCATTTTCTTATCATTTTTACTTATTTTGAAACTTGTTGGAATACATGAACATTTACATTTTTTATTATTTTTTATTTCTAATTCATTTTTCATCTCTAACACCCTTTTACACATCGGACAAGAACACTCAATTACTGCTGTTTCTTTAACAATTTCTTCTGTTTCTTCATCAGTTGAAGAAACTGTAGTATCTGTTTATTCTTTCTGTTTTTCTTTTTTCCCATTTATATTAATATTTATATTTTTAATATATTGTATCAAAAACTTAATTAATTCTAAAATAAAATAACATATTTTTTTACATCTATTATCAGAGATTAGTACTTGTTCTATATTCTCCATTTCATCTATTATATTAATATAATCTGTATAACTCCTTTTCATATTAAATAATAAGATAAATTATTTTTTCATTTCTGTCTTTCTTTTCTTGTAAAGTTTTTTCATTGTATCGTCTTTATTCCATCTATATTTTACAAATTTCTGATGATGTTTTGAATTTAGATGTTTAAATACATATTTGTCATCATAAGTTTTACCACAACTGCAATGGATAATAGTCATATAAATAATAAGATACAATATTTATTTAATGTTATTATTTTCATGCATGATAGAATATTCGGAGGGCACAGTACTTGGGGTTTTCATTGCACACGCGAGCAAGACACAAAACTAATTAGCTTCAATGCTTATTGATTGAAAACAATGGAAAGCCTGTTCCATTTTTATGATATTCACTGCCAGCATATCATAAAAAATGATGTTCCATTAATATTAAATAGAATATGTATTTCAACTATTTTCTTTAGTAAGTTTTATTGCAGTTGATAGACTAACATCTCTAATATTAATATCAATAACTTCTTGTACACTATTTATCATTTCATTTGTATACATATCGGGATAATCTTTCATAAAATTTACTAACTTTCTAAAATTAAAATCTAGGTTATTGTCATTTTCAATTGAGGACTTGGATACTACGATATTTTGTTTTTTAATTGCAGATAAAAAGTATAACATTGAATCATAATATATTTGTTCAGTGTCGGGCACTAAGATATCACCAAATTTATATATCCTCCGAATACTAGCCACTTCACTTAAATTAATAGATTCTATTGCCATTATGATATAATTATATTATATGTTTTTTATTTTATAAGTATTTATAATATTATTTTTATTATGCCTGATGCAAAACCAATTGATGAAATCAAATATGACTTTAAGCAAAGTAAGCATGAGGTTGTCCCTAAATTGCCGATGAGAGCTATGATTGTGGGCCCGTCTGGTTCTGGAAAATCAACTTTACTTGTATCAATGATACTGGATATTTATAGAGGAGCATTTGAAAGAATTTTTATCTGGTCTCCATCTGTAAATTTGGATAGTATTTGGTTGCCAGTTAAACAATACATTAAAGAAGGTTTGAAAGTAGATAATGATAAAGAACCGTGTTGGTGGGATGAGTTCAATGTTGAAGATTTAGAAAGAGTTATAGAAACTCAAAATATAATAATTGAATATCAGAAAAAACAAGGAACGAAGAAATTATTTAATATTTTGGTAATTTTGGATGATGTATCTGATAATCCAGCAATAACAAGAAATAACAAATTGTTAAATTCTTTATTTTGTAGAGGTCGTCATAGTGGAATATGAACACTTGTAAGTGTTCAAAAATCATCAACCGTACCACCAATTATTAGAGTAAATGTAAGTCATTTGTTTTATTATAAAGTTAGAAATTTTAAAGAGATAGAAATATTGCAAGACGAATTATCAGCAATTGTTAGAAGCGATAATTTACATGAAAGCAAGAAACTAATTTATAAAATATATGAGACTGCCACTGATGAACCGCATAGTTTTTTATATATTAACCTTTTAGAAAAGAACCCAGATAAAATGTTTATGAAAAAGTTTTCTCAATATTTGAAAATTACTAATTAAATAATTAAATAATTAAATAATTAAATAATTAAATATATATTAATATTATATGATATTTTATGATTTACCAATAGAAATTAAAGACATAGTATTATCTTATAGTTTAGGCGATGTTAGATTATTAAAAATAAAAAATAATAATATTATTAAAAATTATATTAATAA